TTCACCATTACTCATACATAATCACTGTCTTTGTAGAGGCACTCAGATATGATAGTTTAGATGTCCCTCCAAACTGCAAATATCCCAAACCTCTTCTTCCAAAAAAGCCTTAGCTCATCAGCATTAACCCTTAAACTGTCCAAACAGATCTTCATTCACATGCGTAGTGCTCCAAAAGTAGATCTATGGTTTTTTACATATTTTCAAATATAACAAAACAAAAAGTAGATCAAAGATTTTTTACACGTTTTCAAATGTAAAAAAAAAAAAAACTACGTTTTTTTACATTCAAATGTTGAAAAAACGTAGATCTACGTTTGGACAGTTTAAGGGTTAAACATTTTCTTAGGACTGTAAGTGTTTTCAGAAATCATTTTAGCAAAGTGAACAGGGAAATTTCCCCTCAACACACTGACCATCTCACGTACTCACCACTGAACATTGTAATGGACCCTATTTCTTCTTTACAAGCTTTTAGATCATCCATTAGTAAATACACCTACCATCCGACTTACGACCGAGTTCGGTTCCGAGAAACCGGTCGTAAGTTGAAATGGACGTAAGTCGAACTTTACTACTGAATATCAACATCACATTTTTGTAATTACTTTTTTTTATTGTTTTATTTTGGTATTTCATGTTTTACTTTACTTTTTATGCTGTTAGTACTGTATTTTATACTGTAAAAATTTGGCCAAAAAAACACGGTCGTAAATCGAGTGGTCGTAAGTCGAGCAGGTCGTAAGTCGGATGGTAGGTGTATTCACTTTTGTGTAGGCTCCTTACCCCTCATAAAGTTTTATAGTAGGATAGAGGTATGTGCTCCTTTATCTGAGCCCTAAGCTGCACCCCTTTCCTCTTTTTCTCCTCAAGTCATATAGCCAGTAACTCTTCTTTCTTTCAACAAACTGGCTGTATCCCACTGAGGCAGGGTGGCCCAAAAGAAAAAATGAAAGTTTCTCCTTTTAAATTTAGTAATATGTACAGGAGAAGTTACTAGGCCCTTGCTCCTGGCATTTTAGTTGCCTCTTACAACCCTTCCCAATGTTGAGGTTGGTAACTATTCTGTTGTATTTAGCTGTATTGACCTCTCATTTTTTCAGCATGTCACAATCTGTACTAGTCAAATTCTTTTCTTAAGCTCTGTGGAGTGCATTTCTGATCTTTTTCCTGTTTTATATTTATTGATGCAATTTTTCAGTAGCATTAACACAATTTTCCATTGCCAAGTGCTCTGACTTTCTACTGTGCTGAAATTTAGATACTAGAAATATGATACTGTGCTTCCATACAGTAATTTACTTGGTTGGCATAAATGAAAAAAATTTGTGATAATAAAGCTGCATTAACCGTTAACTGTTAGTCATGTATTGATACGTCTAAGGATGGTATGTCAGTGATATATTTGTATGCATAATTTACGGAGCTTTAAAATTTACCTTGAGCTTCAAATTTAGGCTTAGATATGAGAGAATGGGTCTGCTCACTGTGTATGTGTTGTATACAAAAAAACTGCCTCACACAAAGCATGATGAAAACAATAACTCTCGAGTCTTGCAGACTTGAATTCCTTACTACCATCACAATTAACCACTTACTTTTAACACTTAACTGCACTAACAGTGAGGATAGTTATTCTGATATAGAGTTTCACAGGTTTGCAATGAATGTGAGTGAAGGTGACACTGGGAATACCCATAATACTGCTTCAAACCCAGCTATCGCAGAACCCATTACTCCAGCACCACACTGCTGCCACAATTGTAGTGGTATGCAGCCTGGTAATCATAATTACTACCTAGCATGAATTCCTCCTGAAAGAAGATATAGGCTCAGAGAGAGAGTGAGAGTGTGAGAGAGAGAGAGTGAGAGTGTGAGAGAGAGTGTGAGTGTGTGTGAGAGTGAGAGTGAGAGTGAGAGAGTGTGAGAGAGAGAGTGTGAGAGTGAGAGAGTGTGAGAGTGTGAGAGTGAGAGAGTGAGAGAGTGTGAGAGTGAGAGAGAGAGTGTGAGAGTGTGTGTGTGTGAGAGAGAGAGAGAGAGAGAAAGGTGTGTGTGTGTGTGTGTGTGTGTGTTTGTGTGTGTGTGTGTGTTGTGTGGAGTGTGTGTGTGTTTGTGTGTGTGTGAGAGTGTGGTGTGTGTGTGTGTGTGTGTGTGTGTGTGTGTGTGTGTTAGTTACCATTTGGTCCTAGGCACATGTCGATTAGACACTAGGCCGTTGTGTGTGTGTGTGTGTGTGTGTGTGTGTGTGTGTGTGTGTGTGTGTGTGTGTGTGTGTGTGTGTGTGTGTGTTTGTGTTTGTGTGTGTTTGTGTTTGTGTGTGTTTGTGTGTGTGCATGTTTGTGTGTTTGTGTGTGCTTGTGTTTGCACGTGTTTGCACATGTGTGCGTGTGCATGTGTGTGCACATGTGTGTGCTTGTGTGTGTGTTTGCACGTGTTCGCACGTGTGTGCGCGTGCATGTGTGCGCACGTGTGTGTGTGCATGCATGTCAGTGTGTGTATCTTCCTTCATCTGCTTCTCTCTTATCCACAATAACAACAGTCTTTCTATCGCTATGATAATTTCTCTGCCTTTTTTCACTAGCATAGTTTCATCAGCCACTTTGATATTCTTTACTATTTCTATCTGCTTCATAATAACAGAGATGGTGCCGACACTAGTTCAAAAACCTCGATATGTCTCCACCCATCCTTCAGAGGACAGGCACTGTACTTCCCACCTCAGGACTCAAGTCCGGCTAACCGGTTTCCCTCCATCCCTTCATAAATGTTACTTTGCCCACACTCCAACAGCACGTCAAGTCATAAAAACCACTTTACTCAGCTCCTCCTGTCTGATACGCTCACAGACGCTTGCTGTTAGTCCAAAAACCTCCTTAACCCCTCCCTCCAACTTTTCCTAGGATAGCCCCTACCCCACCTTCCCTCCACTACAGATTTATACCCCATATAAGTCATTCTATAATAATTCATAGTGTAAATGTGTTTTTAGGCTTTTATATAAACTGGCAGGCAAAAAAAAAAAAAAAAAAAAAAAAAAAAAAGAGGCTCCAATTCACTCTATGACAATATCTGATTTATGCTGGTGGTCAGGAACCTAACTCACTATATTAGCAAGGTATGCCTGTATTTATTCTAAGCTGTCAATTGATAGTATCATAAAATACATAATAACATAACCGAGTTCTGCCAAAGTCCAACATTCAGTAGCAGCCAAGGCTGTATTAGGTTATGCTATGCTTAGTTGGTTTAATTATTGCTAATTTATGATATGCATTTTAGAGAGCAAGTACAACCAATGAAATAGCAGACCATAAAATGAAAAAAAAGCTTATCATATTATAACTACGTATACTGTATGTTACTTAGGTTAGGGGGAAAGGTTCGTAAGTTTTACTTAACTATCAATTTAAATATGCAGATTGAAATAAGTCGGCTAATTAAATTAATTACAAAATTAGTTTACAAATGTGAGGACAGTCTGCATATGCAGGCTCTTGCACGCAACAGAAGGGGATCAATCATCCATCACGACTTACGCTGAATGACCAACGTGGGTTTATCGCTTAACATGAATTATTTAATTTATTCCATGATGTACAGTGTGTGAGTGAGTGAGTGAGTGTGTGCGTGCGTGCACGTGCATGCATACGTACGCACGTGCATGCATACGTACACACGTACCTACACATCAATTTGTGGTTGCAGGGCTTGAGACTCAGCTCCTGGCCCTGCCTTTTCACTGATCGCTGCTAGGTCCTCTCCCTGCTCCATGAGCTTTGTCATACCTCGTCTTAACCCTTAAACGGTCCAAATGGATCGACGTTCAGATCCGTAGTGCTCCAAATGTAGATCTAAGTTTTTTACATTTATTATTATTCTTATTATTATCACACTGGCCGATTCCCACCAAGGCAGGGTGGCCCGAAAAAGAAAAACTTTCACCATCATTCACTCCACTGTTTTGCCAGAAGGGTGCTTTACACTACAGTTTTTAAACTGCAACATTAACACCCCTCCTTCAGAGTGCAGGTACTGTACTTCCCATCTCCAGGACTCAAGTCCGTCCTGCTGGTTTCTCTGAACCCCTTCATAAATGTTACTTTGCTCACACTCCAACAGCCCGTCAAGTATTAAAAACCATTTGTCTCCATTCACTCCTATCAAACACGCTCACGCATGCCTGCTGGAAGTCCAAGCCCCTCGCACACAAAACCTCCTTTACCCCCTCCCTCCAACCTTTCCTAGGCCGACCCCTACCCCGCCTTCCTTCCACTACAGACTGATACACTCTTGAAGTCATTCTGTTTCGCTCCATTCTCTCTACATGTCCGAACCACCTCAACAACCCTTCCTCAGCCCTCTGGACAACAGTTTTGGCAATTCCGCACCTCCTCCTAACTTCCAAACTACGAATTCTCTGCATAATTTCAAATATAAAAAAAAATGTAGATAAAAGTTTTTTTTACACATTTTCAAATGTGAAAAAAAAAAAGATGTACATTTTTTTACATACTTTCAAATGTTGAAAAAACGTATATATACGTTTGGACCATTTAAGGGTTAAACCTTCATATGGTTCCTGCCTCCACCTCATCACATGCTAGACTGTTCCACTTCCTGACAACTCTATGACTGAAGAAATACTTCCTAACATCCCTTTGACTCATCTGAGTCTTCAACTTCCAATTGTGATCCCTTGTTTCTGTGTCCCATCTCTGGAGCATCCTGTCTCTGTTCACCTTATCTATTCCACGCAGTATTTTGTATGTCGTTATCATGTCATCCCTAACCCTTCTGTTTTCAGTGTCGTCAGGCCGATTTCCCTCAACCTTTCTTCATAGGACATTTCCCTTAGCTCTGGAACTATCCTTGTTGCAAACCTTTGTACTTTCTCTAATTTCTTGACATGCTTGACTAGGTGTGGGTTCCAGACTGGTGCTGCATACTGTGTGTGTACTCACCTATTTCACCTATTTTTACTCACCTATTTGTGGTTGCAGGGGTCGAGTCATAGTGTGTGCATGTGTGTGTGCTTACGTGCGTATGCTCGCACCATATTTAGATCTCCACAATGCAAAGATACGAGATATATCTGTAAGTCTTGTGAAACACCACTGTGCCTTATGTCTTGTTTTAAGGAATTCCACTGCAAAAATCAAGTAGCATCTACATATGTACCTATTTTTGAAACAGTAAAAAATTGAAGGAAATGGAAATGTTAGTTTACATATATGAACAAAATTGTTTTGTGGAATTTTATTTGATAAAGTTTGAGCACTAAAGTAATAAGAACCAATGTTTGTGGAAAACCATGTTCTAATGTCAGTAACTGAAAAGAAACCCAAAAAAGAGAAAAATGTAGAGAGAAAACTTTTAGGCTATGCAGCAATACCTGCTGTTGCCATCAAATGCTCCATGACCTTCAATTTAGTGCCAGTGTAATTCCATAAATACTGGACCAATTTCATTCATTTTGGTCTTACTACCTATAGAAAAATATACTCTACTATTTTTGAATAACTTTTTGTTTTGTTTTTAAATCATGACACAGAAAGGACAGTTAATTTTGGGAGCTGTGACAGTTGAAATATAACAAATGTAATACTATAATACATTATAAATGTTTGGCATTTATGAAGGCCATGAAACTTGACAAAGAATTACAGTATTATGTTATTTAACAAGTTAGCTGGATTTGAGTTCTGGAATTAGGAAGTACAGTGTCTACTCTGAAGGTTGGGTGGAGATGTTGCTGAGTGTCATTTGAATTGTGATGTTTGTGTACCTCTAGAAAGCAAGCTATTGAATAGCTGCTGATAAATGTGTTTCCTTCTTTGGGTTGCCCTTGATGGGAAAGGACAAGTGTGATACGAAAGAAATAAACTGTGTTAATTACACTAGCAGTTGAGGTTCCATATGGGTGACGAAGCTTCAGTATAAAAAGCAGGACCAAGGCTGTGACAAACACCATCTTCAATGGATATCCAATTTCTTTGTTAATGTTTTGGAGGTTTCTTCAACCATCATCGGAATGTTAAAATCTTCTTTCAACAAACTGGCCATATCCAACCAAGGCAGGTGGCCCAAAAGGAAAAATGAAAGTTTCCCCTTTTTAAATTTAGTAATGTATATTGGAGAAGGGGTTTCTAGCTAGCCCCTTGCTCCCGGCATTTTAGTCGCCTCTTACGACACACATGGCTTACGGAGGAAGAATTCTGTTCCACTTCGCCATGGAGAAAAATCTAAATATTTTACAATAAAAGTAAGAAATGATTTTAAAAAACATTTAAAATTGTCTACATTGAGAATTGGGTAAATGCAACTAAGATAATTCAATCATTATTATTTACATCAGACTATTGTAAATCATATTGGTTGAATTATCTTAGTGACATTTCTCAGTTCATGATGTAGACAGAATTTTAAATGTTTTTAAAATGGTTCCTTACTTTTATTGTAATATATTTTAGATTCTGATGATGGTTGAAGAAACATCTGAAATGTTAATAAAGGAATTAGATTTCCTTAAAGGAATGTGGAAATTAATGAATAAAATTTTTCTAGATTGAAAGATTTAGTAGAACTTAGAATAACTTCAGTAATAAATATATAGTATGTCGTAGTGAACAGTGAAGAATTGTTTAAGCACTGCAACTCATAGGAAGTTTTGTTGAGAGTGGTACATTAGAAGCTCCAGCTGGCTTGGCTGTGTACAGTATTACTGTACTCTAAACTCTCATAGGTCAGTTAAGTTGCTTTCCTGTAGCTCCTGTAACATTAAAAAATGAAACTTTTAGTGAAATATTATATATGACATATATGGAGGCATTTGCAAAAAAAATAAAAAAAAATTCTATCCTTTATGATGCAGTAATATATTACAATTAAGTAATGTTATAACTATAAATATTTTGAGTATAACTGAAGGCAAGAAGTTTTTGTGTACACTTGAAACACTGATATTATGGTTAAGAAAAGTTTACAAAAGTGCTTCTAGTATGATTAGTTTTTGTTGACAAAAAAATAATGTACTGTATTTCAGTGAAAAGAGTAAAAGCAAACATAAAGTACTGTACAGACTCTGAAGATTCCAACATGAGAAGAATGTGAATGTATTTGAAGATCTCTTAATTAAGAATTTTACTTTATGTATTTGTTGTCTAGCAAGAAAATGTTTTTAGTGTTTATTTTTAGTTTCAAATAAAAATGCTCTCTTTATTTCTTTGCTGTGTTTCACTTATCATAGCAATACTCTCTCTCTTTACTTATATATTATTGATTATGTTTTCCTTGTGTTTTGGATACAACAATAATATGGGCAATGGGCATATGAATATAAATTCTTGAAGGAAGGCATGAGTGACATGTACCTTTCATTTTGACAGCAGATGTCCCGGTTTCTATGCCAGGTCTTGGCTTGGGTTATAATCCAGCACTATCGGCAGGTAACTTCTAAAACATTTACAGTGTTGCCGCTTTGATTCATAAGTAGCAGAATGTGCAAGCCAGTGTCATATTAGTAATAACAGTGATTTCCTGAAAAATGCAATCAAGATGATGTCACTTTATTACTGTACTAAGATCATTGTGCAGGCATTTCACTTACCTATAGTGAAAATTGTGACCTGATGCTCTAGTTAGGTGAAATTCTTGATTTGTGATTTTGGAATTCACTGTTCATAAAATTACTTGCCTATACTCCTTTCATTTGCAAAGTATTTTTTGTTCATTGGCATAGAAGCAATGCTTTGTTTTCAATAGTTCACTGACATGTTCTTCCTAATGATTACAAATAGTTGTTTTGAGTGTCTAGATCTTATGGAGTGACCTGATGAGAGGAGAGCGTTTCATAATCTTAGCCCTTTAACTGTCCAGACCCCTGAAGTGAAACTTGCTCTCAATGACCAAAAATTATTTTTTCTTCTGAAGAAATGATTGAGAATCTTTTTCTGAAGGTAATGACACCAAAAGAACAAAATTTGATGGAAGACTTGCGGAATTACACAGGCGTAGAGTTAGTGGTCTGTGCAATTTACGCACTGGCGATTTCGCTCACTTTGAGTACTGTTTTAGGCCAATATCATTGTTGCTGTCATCAAATTATTGGCTGTTTACCATTATACCTTCCATTCTATTGATTGAGCACAAGAAACCACCCATTCAACTATTTCAGCTACCCTATACAGTGATCAGAAGTCCGTAACTTGGGCAATTTCACACAAAATTAAAAGAATACCAATTTAAAAATAGTCCATGGTAAACAATGTAGACATTCCTGGGACTAAAACATTTCCTCTGTTCATTATGTCCCCAGGCCTCTCCTATTTTACACTTGTTTTTCATTTTGATTTTTTATTCATAAAAAAAAAGATTTACTCTGTTTATCGGTTAACAAAATTTAACCAGGAAAGATCAGTCAGGGTTTACAGTGTCCCAATAAGTGAATAAGACCTATTAAAACAGACTTTAGGCTGTAGGGGAGCCTTTTCTGTCCTCTGGAATATAGGCAAAAATCAAATATTTCCACTACTTTAATCTCAGTTTCAAGCTACTTTCATTCATGAAACGAATCAAAATCATCTTTCTGTCAGTAATATGTCTTCCAGTCTAACAAACTATACCAAGAAACAGTAAAACCATAAAACCCACCAGAGAAAACACCACAAACTGTATTGTAAACCATGCACACTGTCACAGTTTTGTTTTTCCCATCATGAACCACATGAGGCAGGATTTTTTTTATACTTACTGCAGAGACCCATTCTCTCGAATCTATGCAAAAATTTACTGCTCACAGCTTATTTGAATGTGCTGAGCTCATGATGTAGAACTATGTCAGGGACCTTGGTCTCAGTAACGTAGATCTCTGTGACAGACAGCGAAAGAGTTAACTGAGGGAACCTACCATCATTTGAATACTATTATTACATACCTAGTGGTTTTTAATATTAGGGGTTTAATATACTAAAAGCTTGGACAGGTTTATAAGGTACGTGTAATAGGAATGTGCACCTACAAGCTTATCCACAGTTTCTTATAAGGCTTGTTTGAGGGGAAAGAAAAAAATGGGAATTTTTATTATTTATGGAAAATTAATGTGTTAAAGGAACAGGTTTAGTGCCTTCTGAATTTTATTTAATAATAATAATAATTGTTAATGGAAAATGTGTAGTTTATTTATAAACAAAAAGACTTGAAAGTAAGATGTAGCATATTACACAGTATGAGGTAGGGTGGTGTTGAATGGAAGCTGTAGCATTTCATACAGTAGGGTAGGGTTGAAGGGAAGATCTAGCATATCATACAGTAGGACAAGGTTTGAAAGAGAAATATACAGTAGGAGGTAACTTCAAAAGAGACTCTTATCACTTAGGGGATTTTAAAATTTGACTGAACTCTTCGAAAACAAAAAAATGAAGGGGGTAAAATGTAAACACCTTGAAAAATATGGTTTTGGGAGTGAGTAATATTAAAGTCCTGAAATAAATTTTATAGCAATCAAATTTGTTATATATATATAATAAAGGCATGGCAGTCTCTTGTTTTGTCAGGTTACTCTCAATAATATAATGATTTTTAAATGTGAGGTAAGTTATTCTTCAATAATTATTATTGTACGAGCTACAGTAGTTTTGCTTGGTGTTATAACTTCCAAGTCCTGGTCACTTTGGGCTTTGTCGCTTGATGCTCTAGTCAGCTTTGGTCTTTATAATTTTGCATTTCTGTTCTATGATATATGGCCCATGTGCTTTTAGTTTTAGATTCATTGGCTTTAAATACATGTATACTATATATGATTTTTAAGTGAAGTAATATAAGTTAACATTTGCTCATATTTATTTGTGTAACAGTTCCATTGTGTGAAGAATATTTTTTTTTAAATTGTTAGCTTTAAAAATATTTCAATTAGAATGGGTAGGGGGATGTGCATGTCATTTAGCAGTATTTAGGTAAAACAGAGGAAATGTTTGTTTATGAATTTGATTGCCTTATGAAGGAATGGATTTGGGAGTAATGTTGCAAGTGTTACCAATTATGAAATAGATGGCAAATTCTTGAAGGATCTGAAATGTTTTTTAAGAGGAGAGTGAGGCAAAGGTTCTGAGGCTGTTTAGGAAAGAATGGGAATATTGGCCTTTTATGTATTTGCAGTTGGAAGATTCAGAAGGAAAGATGCAATAGTTAATACAGATGTTTGGAAGGTTGTTTAAAAAATAAACCATGCAGAAAAAACAAAGAGGAATAAATAAATATTTGAATTAAAAAATCAAAGATTGAAGGAAGTGAGGTTATTTTGGTATTTATGAATGGATGGATGAGTAGATGTTTCTATGAAGGATTGGGTAAATCATGAATAAAGGTGGTCAAGAAGGCCTCATGAGTGTTTAGGAATCTGTGGAATCTATCAGAGTATAAAGCTGCTGATTCTTTGGTATGAGTGTGAAGCACAATCTTTAAATGTTGCTGCAAGCAGGAGATTTTGGACAGTGGAAATGTCACATCCAAGATAGGTGTGGTATGAATATACAGTGAGTAAGGATAGAAGAAATTAGAAGATGCTGTTGTGGTATGTGAAGTAAAATTTGAAAAGTACAAGCTGGATAATTGTGCAATTTTATTTGGTTCTGAGCAATGACTAAAGCAAAGTACATTGTTGAGAAAATGTGCAGAATTTATTTACTGACTTTTACTGTTATTTCCACATTATATTGGGTGCTATAATGTCTCCTTTTCATTTAACTTGAAGAGTGATTTTAGAAATATTGATCAGGTGCTGTACATCAGACTGGAATAAATTTGGGTACCTTTCCAAAATACTGTAAAACTTCACTGATTGCTGCTGTTCTAAAATGCCTGTCTTGTATATTTCTTGATGTAATCAAGGTGATCTATTTGTAGCAATTATTATTTTAGATGTTTAAGAGTTTTGTCAAAAATGGGGCATTTGTGCTTAGGCTTTAGTCTTGTTTGAGCAGCAAAATACTTATAGAAGGTAACCACACTGCAGCATGTATTCAGTCTTAAGTATATGAAAATGGAGATACAGTGGACCCTCGACCAATGATATTAATCCGTTTCTGAGGGCTCATCGTTAGTCAAAATTATCGTTAGTCGAGTTAATTTTCCCCATAAGAAATAATGGAAATCAAGTTAATCCATGCAAGACACCCACAAGTATGAAAAAAAAATTTACCACATGAAATATTAAGTTTAATGCAACAGAATAATTACAATAACAACAATAACAATAGATTAATAACAATAGAATAATTGACACCTTTAATGAAGATCTGGTGATGATTGATGGGATGGGAGGAGAGAGTGTGGATAGTGTTAGTGTTTAGAAGGGGAATCCACTTCCATTAGGACTTGAGGTGTCAAGTCCTTGAGGACATTGCTTTTCCTGAACACTGGGAGTTTGAGTGATACACCAATAAAGGCTTCACTTTGCAATCACCACTAGCATTAGCACACATCACCACTAGTTGCAGGCATTTTTTTAATTAAATCGTCATGCAACTTCCTAGTCTTTTCACATATGATCGCTTGAGAGATGCTATCTCCTGCTATCTGTTTTTCGTTTATCCACACCAATAACAGTCTCTCAACATCTTCTATCACTTGCGATCTCAGTTTCGAAAACATAGTTGCACCTTTGGCAAGAACAGCTTCCTTGATTGCCGTTTTGTTGCCCACAATAGTAGCGATGGTTGATTGGGGTTTTGTGTACAACCTGGCCAGCTCGGAGACATGCACTCCACTTTCATACTTAGCAATGATCTCTTTCTTCATATCCATAGTAATTCTCACCCTTTTTGCTGTAGGGTTGGCACTAGAAGCTTTCTTGGGGCCCATGGTGACTTATTTTGCAGGTGCAATCACTACAAACGCTGTGATAATATGAAATGTTCCGATTGTATGTTTGGATAGGACCGTGGTGGCTGGCTGGCTTGTAAACACTGGCCAGAAGTGGACGCATCTCGGACGGAACGAATCGCGTTGGTCGAGTTTTTTAGCGCTAGTTGAGGCAAAATTTTTGCATTAAAATGTATCGCTAGTCGGATTTAGCGTTAGACGATGCCAGCGTTGGTCGAGGGTCCACTGTACAATGATTTTTTTAATTGTAATTGAAGAAAGTTTTTTTTTTTTTTTTTTTTTTTTTTTTTTTTTTTTTGGTGTGTGTGTGTGTGTGTGTGTGTGTGTGTGTGTGTGTGTGTGTGT